CTATGGCCATTTACCAGGGTATGGGCACTGGAGAAAGAGAAATAACCAAACCTTTCAAGGAACCTTGGATAAAGACTTTGAGCTAATACTAAGTTCTTGGGTCTGAGAGTACCACCGTAGTCCCCTAACGTGAAAAATACCATTTTGACCCTTGTCCATGTCATTGGAGGCCTAGTGAGATCCCAAAGCTATCCTATATCTACACTTTCTGAGTGGTAGTTGGAAAAGATCCCCACACTGGCTCCCTGACCCATTATAATATAAAAGGCCAACAAACAACTTTCAAATAGAAAAATCAACAGTGGTAATATATCTTTGAGGAGGCCACAGAGATTAGTGTCTGTACCAACTACCTTGCAAGGTGATGACTCCTATCAAAACTCCATTAATTCCCCTTATTTTGCCAGCACAAAGTTATATGGGTCTTGGAAAATGACAGTGAATTATTTTAATCAGGATAATTCCAGTTTTAGCTGTTGTGTTAGATATGTGCTCCATATTACAGTCCCTGGAGCTAATGTGCACCTGCTTGGCTTCATTCTCTATTCTGAGGAACAAAAACCACTGGAAGAATTTTGCTATTACCTGGAAGTGATAACAGTTTTTCTTTACTGTTCTAACTTAGGTAAACCTTCATTCTCCAACTCTGTACCATAAATATCTTGATTCTCTGAGTATCCCTATTCCACAAGACAACAAAGTAATTCATTACATTAACTAAATCACATTAATAGGGCCTGGAGAGCAAATAGTAGCAGGTACTCCAGCTGCATTTATCTTCACAAGGTGGGAGATAAATCCAATGCATCTCAGCAAAGTTTCTCAAAGTGTCCAGTATCCTGGTGCATATAGGAATATTCCTTGCAAAGTGAAGGACAAGTAGCTATTCTTTGGTACTTCTAAGGAGATAAATCCAATGCATCTCAGCAAAGTTTCTCAAAGTGTCCAGTATCCTGGTGCATATAAGAATATTCCTTGCAAAGTGAAGGACAAGTAGCTATTCTTTGGTACTTCTATCACTACAAAAAGAAGTACAGTGCAATTTGGATTTTGTTCTACTGCTGTCAGATCCTGGCTTGCTGTTAGGCTTTGATGGTGAATGAAGGCCTAACTATGGGATATCAGGTAATCTTGTGACCCAAGGTGCCCATCACAAGTCAAGTACTATATCAATCATCCAGATAGAAAGTCAAGCATGCCTGTAAGGACTCCATCACCAAGCGTACCCATGGGTACATGGAACTGGGCTCAAGTAGATGCTCACAGTATAACTTAGTTGCATGGAAAGGTTACAATCAGGGAATCACATGTTTTCTAATGAAACCTAATGACCCACTTGCAAATCTGTGGCTTCCTATCTCTATGACTCTGAGTTCTGCCAACTTACAGGTTTTGGTACCAAGGGAAGAATATTTCCACTAGGGGATAGAGCAGTGGGACCTCTAATTTGGAGACTGAGACTGTCATGTGGACATTTCTGAACTCTTTTTATCCCTGGGTGTCTGAATATGTGAAGTACTTCCAAAAGTTCATGGAAAAGTAGAATTAAAAAATAATGTAAGTCTTTCCTTGGACTTTTTTTGAAGTACCCTTGCAAAAGGAGTTACAATGTTGACTAGGGCAATCAACCATACTGTCAAGGGGACATATGGTTATTGCTACACAAACGTGGCAAGAAGGAATGCAAGAAACACCAGGAAATTCCCTGGGGCATCTCCACATGCCAGCAGGACTACCACGGCTCAGATCCTCTAGGAATAAAGGTTTAAGATGCCCCATCAAGCCAAGAATCCCAGCCAACCGAAATGCTGGCCAAAGGCAGTGTCTTAATCCATTTTCTGTTGCTTGTAACAGAATACCTGAAACTGGGTAATTTATAAAGAAATGAAATTTATTTCTTAACAGATCTGGAGGCTGGCAAAAGGTCAAGGGGTGCATCTGGTGAGGGTCTTCTTACTGGTAGGGACTACCCATAGAGTATTGAGGTGGCACAGGGCATAACATGGCAAGAGACCTTAGTATGCTAGCCCAGGTCTCTCATCCGCTTCTTATAGTTCCACTCCCATAACAACCGATTAATCCATGAATAAGGTCAGAGCCTTCATGATCCAATCACCTCTTAGAGGCCCCGCCTCTCAATACTGCCACATTGGGGATTAAGTTTCAACATGAGTTTTGGAGGGGACATTCAAACCATAGGCAGGGAGGACATGATGTGGCTAGCAGAGAAAGAATGTTATAAATGCCAGTGGCAGCCTCATGACCGTTACAGGAATGAGGATGTAGCAATGCCTCTTTTCCTCCTGGCTGTTTCTTTCTTTTTCTTTCTTCTAATATCTAATAAAGGATATACTGGTGGCAGTTACATTTACCATTTATTGCTTATATTACAGAATACTGAAATAGGATCAATGGTATCAGTGGAGGAATAAACTTAGAGCTGGATTTATTAACAAGACATGACCATGGGGTATCATCCCTGTGGGGAGAGGATCAGTGTGGTTTTGGTTATACATGAGAGAGTTTCCTTATGTGAAAGAAAAACATGTGTAAGACATATGTTAGTGTAAGGTATGTCGGGGACCCTAGGGTTGGAATGTAGCAGACACCTGCTATTTTTAGCTATTAACACCCCTCCCCTTTATTTTGGTAAATAAACAAACACATGGCCTCTTCTTTGGGTACTACCTTTCCTCCCCTGGGGCAGATATGAATCCGGTACCCTGCCCTCTGTGCCCACCAAAGGAGAAGCATATGACTCAAACTAAATCACCCTCTCTACTGGGATTGGAACTGTGAGCAGAATGATTCAGGGAATAAAGGTGATTGGAGGTGGATCATTTGGATGGCAGTGTCCTAAACAGAAGATTCGGAGGTCCCGCTACTGAGGTCCCTGGAGGTCCTCTCATTTCTATATTTCCTGAGGCCTTGTCAGTCAGCTCTTCCTTTGATTGGCTGAATTTCACAAATACCCTTCTATAGTGAGCTCAATGGTGGCCCCACACACGTGTCTACATCCTAATCTCTGGAACCTATAAATATTACCTTACTTGGAAAAAAGGGTCTTTTTGTAAATGTGATTAAGTTAAGGATCTTGAGATGAAGTCATCTTGGATTATCCTGGTGGGTTCTCAATGCTTTCACAAGTGTCCTTGTTTATTTTTATTGTGTGTGTGTGTGTGTGTGTGTGTGTGTGTGTGTGTGTGTGTGTGTGTGTGTGTGGTGGCTATAAGGGGATCAAACAGGTTTCTGGGCGTGGCTCTTTATTTGCATAATGGTTTTCATTGACACGCAGGAGTGGGAGGGAGTTGTGACTTTTCTGCCAGGACCACACACAACCTCGTGGTGGACTCAAGCTGGAGGATTCTCCCCTGAACTTTCCCCACAGCAGCTTTAGTGACTTGTTTGTGGGGTCAGAAAGTCTGAAGTCATCTGGCTTCTTGATGTATTTGGTGAGACCATAATAATGGTGCATGCAGCCCTTCTAATCTCTGTTCTCCAACCTGTGCAGGAAGGCGATATTTGTGTGGTGAATTCTTGAGAGGTCCTTTGGCTTAGCTCCAGCCTCTGCTCCAATCTGTAGACTTGGAATCCATGTGGGTGTTGGGGGCCCATTATGTACTAACTCCTGTGTATGACACACGACCTTCACACATGCTGTTCCTTCTGCTTGGAATATTCCTCCCTGAAACCTCCTTTGCCTATTAGTTATTTATCTTTATGATGATGGTTAGACCATCACTTGCTCAGGAAAGACTTCTCTGACTTTCTCAGGTAATAGTCTCTGGTACCTTATACACACTTAAACAGTTCCCTGTACTGAGTAGAGCTCACTATTATATATTTACGTGATTATTGCATTAGAGCCTGTCTCCCCCAATAGGCTGTAAGCTTCATGAGTATAGGGATATATATTTTGTCCACCATTGTATCTTTTGAACCTAGTTAGCAGTCAATAAATCAGGTGGGTAAAGTAAATCAGAGAAGTGGCTGGACATATATAACAGCGTGTGTGGGTTGCAGGGCGACACTACAGAGAACTGGAGAGTGCATGACTCAAATTCAAATTTTAAAAATATAGGGGCCGGCCTGTGGCTCACTCGGGAGAGTGCGATGCTGATAACACTAAGGCCATGGGTTCGGATCCCTACATAGGGATGGCCGGTTCGCTCACTGGGTGAGCATTAACACTAAGGCCATGGGTTCGGATCCCATATAGGGATGGCCGGTTTGCTCACTGGGTGAGCACGGTGCTGACAAATTTTAAAAATATAGTACAAATACTGGTTAGCTAAACAAAACATGTCTGCAGGCCACTTGTAAAACCTCAGCTTATGACTCTTCCCATAGCTATTTGTTGAATGAATGACTGAAGAACCTACAAGGAAGTCATTGTAAAAACTTCCAGAAGCAAGCAGGGATGGAGAGGCAGAGCTGACCGGACCCCCTTTTCAGTCTTGTTCACACCCCTAAAACCACATGTAAACTTTGTGAGGGCAGAAGAAAGATGGAGTTTATGGAGCATTGGTCTTGGCAGACTAACAAGTCTGGATCCAAACCTGATTCTGCCACTTCTAATTGTGTGACATTTGGGTAAATTATTGCTCCTCTATGAGCCTCAGTTTCCTCATCTGTGAAATGAGAATAATTCTCATGCCCCAAACAGGTCTCAGCATGATCTGGCTAACATCCAGGAGGTGCTCGGGAATCTTTAGCCTCTTTTTGGCTTTCTCCCTCTGGATCATGCCTGCTTCGTAGATGGCTAGAAGATTGCTTTACAAAGGTTTTTGAGTTGTTCTCCAGGCTCACAGAATCTAGGGTGGCACTATCTTGTCCTGGGCCTTTGGAGGAAGTTATGTAGCCTCTGGGTCTCATTTCTCAGGCCAGCATGAGTGGTCCTGAGAGGCTCACTACCATGAAGAACTTAAGCAGGGGAGGAATCTCTGCTCTGTTTCAGCTGACTCTAGGAGTGCGGGAAGGAGGGATGCAGAGCCCTGGTTTTAATAAATATGAGAGTTTGGAGACTCCTTGGGGGCCTGGGTCTCCAGGTCTGCAAGCCGTCCCTCCTGAGAGGTCTCTCGGGATGTCTCCAGAGACACCTCCGACACCCCATCAACGCTGCTCAGCAAGTCCTCAAACTCCCGGTGGTCACTGTTGCGCACGGCTGCCTCCAGAGCCTTCTGGCGCCGGTAGAAGTGGGAGAACTTGTTGAAGATGATGGTGATGGGGAGCGCTACCACCAGGATGCCCCCTAGAATGCAGCCTGAGGCTGCCAGCTTGCCAGTCACAGTCACGGGCACCACATCCCCGTAGCCCACGGTAGTCATGCTCACTGTGCCCCACCACCAGCAGGCCGGGATGGTGTCAAAGCCCACGTCCTCCTCTTTCTCAGCTGTGTAGGCCACACCGGAGAACACTGACACACCTACGGCCAGGTACAGCAGTAAGATGCCCACCTCACGGTAGCTGTGCTGGAAGAGAATGTAGGAACCCAAGTCAGAGCTGGATGGGCTTCCAGACCTGGTACTGGGCACATGGAGAAACTGAGGCCCAGAGCATATAAAGGGACGGGTTCAAAGTCACAGAGCAAGGTAGAGCTGGTGCCAAGACCCAGGTCCCCTGACTCCAAACTAAGATCTTCCAACTATAATTGGCAGCAAAACTCCCTCAGATTTAGCACACCCCTAATCTCTGTTGTCCAAGGTGCCTTCTAGGCCATGGTTGTTTCTTCTAACTTTGGGGGTCCTGATGGCACCAGCCAGTGAATGAAAAGCTTGTGATTTTTATACTCTTGCAGAACCAAGAGAACCATACCTTACATTCCACAATGCAGAGTTGGTTTTATGTTCTTTTGATTGGTCTATCACATTTCTGACAAGTACAGAAATATTTTCTGCCCCTCAAGGAAGCTGAGAGGATACAAGTTCCCTAGGCCACTCATTGAATGCACTTGCCTGTAGGTGTGTACATCTGCTCTGTCCCTGAGGTCAGGCCCTAGGACAGTGATTCTCAAACAGGGCGATCCCCCCCCCCCCCCCAGGGCCCTTGGG